GTGGCTAGGGCATTGGTTACGATGCCTCCTGGACGCCTCCCTGGTGAAGCTTTCCGGGCACATCCAACCGGGGAAAGACCTAAAGGAAGACCCAGGACACGCCAGAGGGACTATGTTTCTTGGCTGGCCAGGGAACGCCTTGGAATTCCCTTGCGAGGAGCTGGCCCAAGTGGCTGTTTAGGCTACTGCCCCCGCGTCCCAGCACCAGATAAGCAAAGGAAAATGGATGGAAATTTTATTTTTGTCACTCTGCTACTGCGGTTTACAGATTTGAGCATAAAGGTTACAGACATTAAGGGTTGACCCTATAAATTAGTAAAATATTAGATAAAAAAATGTTTCCTAAAAGCAGACATGCGAGTTTATCTCAGTCGCTTCATTGTGAAGAAAGGACATTCTCAGTTCACACGTGTGATAATAACAGAGAGCAGCATGGCTGCTGGGTCATGAAAGCTGAATAAGATCATCACACTGTGGTGTCGCCTCCCTCACAATAACTCAGATGGGTGCTGCCACTGCATGATGGAAAAGACATTACTGTACGTGGAAACGGACAAATCATGATGTTTCAGGTTTAGCTCGCCAATCAGACTGTTACCTTCTTAACCACAGGAATGGACTTGGCAGCATGGGCCAACAGATGACTCACAGTAACATATCCTGGCCTTGTATTCCTCTCTGCTAGTGGACCCAGGAGACAGATTTAGTAAAAACATTAAATCATTCTGGGAAGTTTTTAAATTACAAATGCTGTTAATACCAGAGAAGGAAATTATGCCCCAGAAGAGGAGTTTCAACAAAATTTGATTTTTGTGAATTGCATTAAAGCAAAATTTGTATTAAAGTTTGGTCAAATAATTTCCAGATAGAAAAAGCCATCTAGCTTCACACATTTTTTTTTATTAAAGGCTTATTTTTATTTTCTTTTGCAGTTGGTTTTCATATTTTTACATAAATTAATTCTATAGGTGAGCTTTCACGTCTAGCTGTAAATACATTGATAAATTGAAAAATTTGTAATTATTGGACTTTTAATGTGTGTTTGCGGGGAGGAGACCCTCTTTCGTCTCGGACACAAGCAAGGGAGTCCTCATGGAAAAGAGGTTGGGAACCACTGCCCTGCTGCAACAATCTGCAACGTGTTTGCCCTACAGCCATTAAAAAAAGAGTATAGGTTCACAAGCAGCAGCATTTGCATATGAGCACGTTTGAGAGTGACTGAGTCGACAAACAATTTCAAGTTTAACAAAACAAAAATCCAGACTGATATATGTAATGCTTAAAACATTAGAACAGCTATTTAAGCACATTGAGTTGCCTTTGTGTAGGAAATACCATACCATACCAATTTTATTTATATAGCACATTTAAACACGGCATGAGAGCCGACCAAAGTGCTGAACAAAACACACAATAAAAACAATCAAAAATAAAAACTAAATCCATTAAAATCAAGTAATCCAACCCTAAAAGGAAAGGTAGAAAGGGAATAAGTTAGACAGAATTAAAAGCCAGAGAATAAAAGTGAGTTTTTAAACGAGACTTAAAAAGGGAAAGAGAGGAAGAGAGTCTGATCGGGAGGGGCAAGTGGTTCCAGAGCTTCGGTGCACAAACTGAAAAGGCGCGCTCCCCGCGGGACTTACAGCGAGAGCTAGGGACATGTAGGAGGTGTTGGTCAGCTGATCGGAGGGATCTTGTAGGGACATATGGGTGAATGAGCTCAGACAAGTAGCCAGGTGCTAAGTTATTTAGGGATTTAAACACAAAAACCAGGATCTTAAACTCTATCCGGAGATGGATGGGGAGCCAATGAAGATTTGCTAAAACCGGTGTGATGTGTTCCCGCTGCCTGGTGCCAGTCAAGAAGCGAGCTGCTGCGTTCTGCACTAGCTGAAGTCGAGCGAGAGTGGAGGAGGAGATACCGTATAGCACTGAGTTAGAGTAGTCGAGACGGGAAGTAATAAATGCATGGACAACTGAATGAAGATGATGCCTTTTTAAAATGGGCTTAACTTTAGAGAGACGCCTCAGGTGGTAATAACAGGTCTTAACTACCTGGTTGACATGAATGTCCATTTTTAGTTTAGCGTCCATCACAACCCCTAAGTTTGTGACACGGTTTTTCAACCCACTTGTGATAAATGGAAGGGTCAGTTGGGGACTTTGAGAAGTACCAGGGCTGAAAATGATGGCCTCTGTCTTAGCGTCGTTCAGCAAAAGAAAGTTTTCTGACATCCAGCTCTTCACATCATTGCAGCATTCAACAAGGGGCAGTAAGGAGTCATTAGGCTTCACAGAGGCATATAATTGGCAATCGTCTGCATAAAAATGGTAATCAATGTGGTGTTTTTTAAAAATGTCACCCAGGGGCAAAATATATAAATTAAATAAAAGGGGTCCAAGAATAGAGCCCTGAGGAACACCACAAGTCAAAGCCGCAGAGGGGGAGGCAGCACTACCCATCATAACATTAAAGGTGCGGTCACAGAAGTAGGACCTAAACCAGTCTAAGGCAGTCCCCTGGATGCCGACCAGCTGGTTCAGCCGAGTCAGCAGAATAGCATGATCAACCGTATCGAAAGCAGCCGACAGATCCAATAAAACCAGCAATACATTAGAACCAGAGTCAAGGGTTAATAAAATGTCATTAAAAACACGAAGATGAGCTGACTCGGTGCTATGGAGGGATCGGAAGCCTGACTGGAAGGGATCCATTAAACCATGATCATCTAGATGAGACATAATTTGGTTAAAAACAGCACGCTCTAACAGTTTTGATAAAAATGGAAGCTTGGAGATCGGGCGAAAATTACTCATAACAGAGGTGTCAAGGCCAGGCTTCTTCAGAACGGGTTGAACTACTGCATGTTTAAAAGCACGGGGTACAACACCAGTGGATAGGCTGTTGTTAATAATGCTCAGCATAAGGGGGCCAGTGACAGAATATGTCTCTTTAAGGAGGTGTGGAGGAACAGGGTCAACCGGAGAACCTGACGGCTTCAAGGCAGACAGGAGGTTCTCAAGAGAGGACAAAGAAAGCAAGTCAAAGTTATCCAGAGACCGAAGCCGAATGGGTTCAGGACGACTAGTGACATAGGGAGAACTCATCTGAGCCCGGATACTAGCAATTTTTCCAAGAAAAAATTTCAAAAATTGAGTGCATTGAGCATCCGAGGTAGTAAGAGAGTGGTGGTCACTGGCTGAAAGAACAGCATTGAGGGTCTGATACAGGACACGCTGGTTGCCAAAGGATGCAGTAATAATATTTGAAAAGAATTTATTACGGGCATCTTTAACTACTTTCTGGTAACGAGCCCAGGTATCTATCATTATTTGGTATGAAATCTGAAGCTTATCCTTTTTCCATCTACGCTCGGCTCTTCTGCACTCACGCCTGACAGATCTGGTAGTTGCACTGATCCAGGGATCCGACCGAACTTTAGAGCGTCTAGTTCTCATGGGGGCTATCTGATCTAGCACAGTAAGGCAGGAAGATCGAAAAAAGTGCAACAAATCATCAGTGCTAGAAAACACCGGCAAAGTGGAAACAAGATCAGTGAATAAAGTACAGAATTCTGTTGCAGTAGATGGTGTAAAAGATCGGGCTCTGCGAGCAGGCATTAAATTAATTAAAGAGGCATTGGATCTATGAAGGCGAAACAAAACCGGGAAATGATCTGAAATATGGACAGCATCAACAAACATGTCAGTGATCTTCAAGCCATGAGTGAGAACCAAGTCCAAGATGTGAGAGCGTTCATGTGTTGGCATATTAACCAACTGGGTCAGGCCAAAAGAGTCAATAACATTTAAAAATTCTCCCACAAGAGGCTTCTCAGGGCAGCAAACATGAATATTAAAATCACCTAAGATAAGAACACATTCATAGTGTGAACAGATATCAGATAAAATATCAGAAAACTGGGTTATAAAGTCTCTGCTGTATTTTGGAGGACGGTACAGCAAGGCACAGAGAACGGGAGGTGAAGAACACAGTTCAAAGGCAGTTAACTCAAAGCTGGTAAAATCAGGGAAGGTGATGGGTTTACAGACAATAGTCCGTTTGAAGATGGTCAAAAGACCACCACCACGACCAGTTGTTCTTGGATTATTAAAATATGCACAGTCAGCAGGTAAAGTTTCAGAAATAGTGGCTAAATCATCAGGAGCAATCCAAGATTCCGTTATGAGAAGGAAATCCAGGTTATTGTCAATAAAATAATCCTTAATAATGAATGATTTATTGCCAAGAGAGCGAGTATTCATCAGGGCAAACCTGTACGGCGGTACTGGATCCAACCTGGGTGTATGAGAAGAGATGTGCTTCAGAACCCGAAATGTGCTATATAAATGAAGCTGTCTTGTCTATTTAGAAATCTGAAGAATATTTTTGGGTCTTCGTCTGTGGTGAAAAAGATCCTGGTGAATCACCTTAGTTACATCGTCATCTGAAAATGGGGAAATAAAATTTCCGTGGAAGATGGATAAATACAGCAGAAACTCCACATATTTTGTAAACACACTTCAAATAAATACTGTATAAAAACATTTTAGCACAGCCTGATATTCATATCAGTCTTAAGTATTTTTGCATGGACATTAATTCTTTATTCTTTGTTGCTCCTGCTCATTTATTTATTTATTTTTTGCAGTGAGGAAAGAGAGCAGAGTGTGTCTTGGTGATTGTGACTTTGCAACATGGCGTAACACTTTCTGTTAGCTAATCAGAAGCGAGGTGTGTGCATATAATTAATAATAATGAGTAATCCTACTATTTTCACCCCACCTCTCCACCAGCATACTTCTACATTTTAGAACAGGAGCATCATAGCTATTTTTAAGTGACTCAAAAGGCACTGATTTTCTCCAGAGGGCACTGCAAATGTATTGAATAAATGAGTAAACCACACCTTTAAAATATTGTTTTCAAGTAGAACTTGATCCTTTTGGTAAATTTGTGATTTTTTACTTTAGTACTGTTTGTCTTTGTACCTGCACAGATTTTGGCCAACGTTATAATTTTTGTGTGCGGCAACTTGGCTGGTGCATACCACAAGCATCTGATGGAGTTGGCACTGAAGCAAACCTACCAAGACACCTGCAACTGCATCAAGTCACCCATTAAACTGGAGTTTGAGAAGAGACAGCAGGTATTGTGATCACTCCTGATGTACTGGTGGAGACATAGTGTTTGGATTTTTTGTTTTACAAAGGTTGGGGAATCTGGGAAACATAGGGTCTTAGTTAAATTTAAGTATTTTTTTTCCACATTACTTTCTTTAAACATTTTGCTTTTAGCCTGCCAGTGTTGTTTTAGGTACAGCAAATTTTGCATCCAAAATCTCACACAGCCCCACTGCATTCATCTGTGTAAACATTAATTATGAATACGCTTGTTGCATTTATATTGCTCAACGTAAAGCTTGAGTTATTCAGACCAGTCAGCTCTGCATATTACATGTGCAATATTGTTTTTTAGTGTTATAACTTTTGAAGACATCTGTTAAAAACAAAAAACCCATGGTTTACGAAGCCCAAATGCTGGACTGACTGGGTAAGGAATGCAACAAAACAAAGGCGTGGTGATAAAAAGGCTGAGACAAGATGTGTGACAAGATCAGAGAACCAGCAACATTTAAAATGGAAAATTAGTTGACTGGAACATAAAACTCGGTTTGACAAAAACCTTTAATGCATATTTTCTCCATGAGAAAATCTACAGTTCAAGAAGGTTTAACGATTATGTGCAGTTTTGTGGAATGTTTGTAAGAATGATTAAGTGATCAATTATTAATGATTAGACATCTTTGGTGTGTTCTTACTGTGTTGCTTTTCTAACTGCATTTAGAAATGTGTTGTATGTATTTATGATTACGATGAAATTTTCATGACATGGAGCTATGAATACATGTTGTATGTCCAGCTGTTGTTTCAAAATCCCGGGCATTCAGTGAAGCTGTTTAGCTGTTGGTGAATTGAGCTTCTGCTGTTTGAACTGCCACGAGTAGAGCTCAAAATGCCTTGGGTGAGGTGTTTCGTAGGAGCCCTGGAGCGCTGGCTGCAGCTTTGCTAGTGACAGATGGTAGTAACCGTGCAGACTGTTCTTTTAAGCGGCGCACTCATAATATATGCTGTTTGCTGCATTCTTTCAACCACAGTGCACTGCTGTATGGAAGGTGGGTACATTTATGGTTTGAGTATTCCAAATGTGTAATTTTATCATTAACACAAATCTAAGGTAGTAAATTCTCTCATTCACACTGAACCATTCATGAAGATCAGTATCTTCCAAGTTGGAATATTTGCTCATTTTTTGATCGCTCCAAGAGGTTTGCCATAAAGAGGTCCTTCACTCATACTTTTAATAAAATTGCAGTGGTCTCTAGAAGGAATGAATATCTTAAAAGTCATACTGTGGGAAAAAAAGCCCCGGTGCGCTTGCTTCAGCAGGGAGAGTTTAGCCAGAGCTGAATGTAACTTCCACAGACATCATATATGTAGATGCGATGTGGACTGGCGCTGCCTGTTGGAGTTGGCATAGCAGCGAGCAGCCATCTTGGATGGGTTCCCATTCACCCCCCAAAGCAGGTATTTCTACTGAAGAAGGTGCTTATCCTGCTAAAAAAAACTTTTTATTATGCATTTTCACAAAATGAGACACATGGCATGATGAATATAATGTAAATATAATAAAATAAGTAAAAATACAATAAAATATAAAATCCCAACAGGTAGGCTAGAAAATTATACTATTTTCCCAAGTAATCTTTTTTCAATAGCGCGCTGGTTGTTGCAACCATAGGTTGCACAAAAAAATGGGCACAGTTGCTCACTCTGCATTGACTCTGGTTGGGTTTTGGTGGCACTCTCCAGTGCCCACTTTTCCCCTATCCAATTCAAATCTTGATTAATCGGATGTTCCAAATGTCTGTTTACATGGACACTAACTGAAATGACCTGATCATGCCGTGAGTATACATGCATCAAGCATTCAATCAGATATATCAGTTGTGCATGTGCAGCGTTGTATTTCCCAGAAATATTTGTAAACAAATGCCATCTTTTTGGCATGTCTTTTTCCTCGCATTTTATTTTCTTCTCCAGCTTTGTCCGTTGACTTACTCCCTTCCCCCATTATGGACCACTTCTGTTCCGAATGGGTGTTTACATGGATGTCAATTGGAATGATGATCGGACAAAACCACCTCTCTCAATCGAAATGAAATGTCATTCTAATTGGGCCAAATCAGAACAGAATATTCTGATTGAAATGTTTATATGAAGAATTTTTTATCTGATAGGGCATTATTTGTAATTTATTCTGCCCAAGTAAACGTAGCTACTGACTCAATTTACTCTGCAACGTTGGTGTTTTCTCTCCACAAATTAAACCAACCTGAAGGAGTTCTGCTATGTTGTGGAGTTGCTAACGCTAATGGTTAGCTTCTGCTAACCAAGACGTTCTCTGCTGTTTCCTGGACGCTAAACCAACAACAGCCTTCCCAGTGGTGACTCAAGATGGGAGAGGCCATGAATGTTAAGAGCGACAGTGTGACGTAGATCTCTGTCAGCTAACGCAGGAGATACGTGTAGGAGACTATTTTCATGGTCAGCCTGCATGAAAAACTCAGTGACATTTTCAAAAATAATAAGTAAAAACATTTTCCCAGTGAAGGACCTCTTTAAAAAGCATTTAAGGAGTTTTTACAATTGTAGTTCCCTAAAATCAGAGGGTTTCTAAAGTGTGTAGGCACTCTTGACACTAGTTAGGGAATGTCTTTTACAATATAATATTCAGCTCAATCATCTGCAGCTTTCATGAAGATCTCTGCAACTGTCTTTTTGTGCCTTCAGGAACGTCTTCTGTTGTCTTTGCTGCCAGCTCACATTGCCCGTGTGATGAAAGCTGAGATCATTCAGAGACTAAAAGGACCAAACTTTGGCCAGATTGAGAACACAAACAATTTTCACAACCTCTATGTCCAGAGACACACCAATGTCAGGCATGTCGATATTTATTCTCATCATTTACACAAAAAAAAAACATGTTCTCTCCTGGAATATCTAATTGAAGAGTTCTGATTTACATATGAAATATACATTTACAGAAGACAATTATTGGGTTTGAAAATTATGATCTTTTCTAAAAAATGTAAAAAGCATAAATTTTTTGATTGGTCTTTCTTTCTATCTCTAGTATTCTCTATGCAGATATTGTTGGATTCACGCGGCTGGCCAGCGACTGTTCTCCTGGAGAACTGGTGTACATGCTGAATGAGCTGTTTGGCAAATTTGATCAAATTGCAAAGGTACTGATTACATTTTAAATATTGTATATTTTGAAACATTTGCATATAAGCTCCAGGAACACCAAATTGAAAAGTACATTTTGTCTCATTCAGTGTCATGAATCCCAATGTTCTGTTGCATAATATAGTCAGGGTCTATGGGAAACAGAGCCTGCAATAAAACAACAACAACGAGAAATAATAAAAACAACAACTTAACAATTTGTAGACATCAGGATTTATTGCAGTTCATCTGTTTGCATTCACATCCTATAAAGAAGTGGTGTCCAAGCTTTCTGTAGCCTGGCAAGCCAGACTACATAAATGTATTATTTAGTCTGGCAATGCTCCATTGACGGCTCCCGGTTGTGGGGCGGGTTCTACCGTTGTCTTTCAAATGACCTCCGCATGCTACTGGACAATGAATGTGACATACTCTTGTTTCACTCTGTTGCATCATCCCACCCACCAGGCATATAGAGTGCCCTGATTGGCCCACAAAGCGGATAAAGCTCTGATTTGTTCACTAAGCAGATGGAGCACTATGATTGGCCCACCATTATGGACAAATCACAGCTCTTTATGTGTTTGAAACCCCTCTAGAGAGCTGTGATTGGCTAGCCAGAATGCTGTTGGGGCTGCAGAGGTTCCAGTGGAGCGTTCCTAGACCAAACTTTGCAAAGCAAGAATTTGGTCTAGATCACTAGGCTAAGCTTTCTGATGAACAAGCCGAAAAGGCCAAGTCGAAAGCATTTCTTTTGTACCTTAACTGAACAAAAACTTAGCAATAATTTTATGTAAATAATAAAAGTATTTGAGCTTTTTTTTTTTAAGAAAACAATCTTTAAATCTTTGTAGATGCTAGACATGAAGAGTCTCATATGTTTGCAACAATAACAGAATAGAAAAAAAATCCATAAATGGGATGGTTAGATTTTTTTTCAAAATATCGTTTATACTGTTATAATTACCAAAACCAGGATATGAGCCATTCTTTTTTCCATAGTGCTTCTTGCATTTAGTCATGTTTTTTGAATGGTGCTCATAAATATGTGTTTTAAGTTATTGAGAGTTTGTGTTTAGGGTTAGTATGCTGTACTTATTGTTTTTCTATTTACAGAAATTGATGTAATTTTGCTTTTGTTAGGCTTTGCATCTGAATCTTAACGCTGCTATATCAAATCTGCAGAACATGCTAGATTTTGAATGCAAACACAGTCACTGAACACTCACCTCGGGTATCTTCCCTGAGACTTCTGCTAGAACCAGAAACCTGTGTTGCCAAATGAAATGAGATAGTGCTAAACACCAGTTGCCATTTTTTAAGTCCAAATATCTCTTGTTGTCTGTGAATTCAAATTGTGTTTGTCCTAAAGTTGAAGTGGTAGCAGCCGGCTGTTTCTCTTACTCTGATATTATTGATCCGCAATCCTCTCACACCAGTGGTGTTCTGCTGCTAAATATGTGAGTGCGTAATGAATGGAGGACCCAGGGAAGTGTGGAAGTGCGGCAGCTCGGCGAGACAGACAGCAAATGGTCCAATGGCTGCTTTCAGCGCAAAACTTGTTAAAGCTGCTTTAAAGTTGCAATAGCAAATTTGTAAAACAGATTGGCTTACAAGATCTTTCATGGAGGTAAAGTCAAAGAGTCGGAGTACCCGGCCTGGAGGGTTACCGGGGTCCCACCCCGGAGCCAGGCCTGGGGTTGGGGCCCGTGAGCGAGCGCCTGGTGGCCGGGTTTTCGCCCATGGGGCCCGGCCGGGCCCAGCCCGAACCGGATACATGGGCTCATCCAACTGTGGACCCACCACCCGCAGGAGGAACATGAAGGGTCCGGTGCAATGTGGATCGGGTGGCAGACCAAGGCGGGAGCCTTGGTGGTCCGATCCCCGGACAAGAAAACTAGTTTTTGGGACATGGAACGTCACCTCGCTGGTGGGGAAGGAGCAGGAGCTTGTGGCAGAGGTTGAGCGGTACCGGCTAGATATAGTCAGACTCACCTCGACACATAGCATTGGCTCTGGAACCCAAGTCCTTGAGAGGGGTTGGACACGCTCCTTTGCTGGAGTTGCTCCAGGTGAGAGGCGGAGGGCTGGGGTTGGCTTTTTGTTAGCCCCAAGACTCTCTGCCTGTGTGTTGGGGATTACCCCGGGGATGAGAGGGTAGCTTCCCTGCGCCTTCGGGTCGGGGAACGGGTCCTGACTGTAGTTTGTGCTTATGGGCCAAATATCAGTTCAGAGTACCCACCCTTTTTGGAGTCCCTGGGACGAGTGCTAGATAATACTCCATCAGCGGACTCCATTGTCCTGCTGGGGGACTTCAATGCTCACGTGGGCAATGACAGCTTGGCCTGGAGGGGTGTGATTGGGAGGAACGGCCCGCCTGATCTGAACTCGAGTGGTGTTTCGTTATTGGGCTTCTGTGCAAGCCGCAGTTTGGCCATAATGAACACCATGTTCGAACATAAGGATGCCCATCGGTACACTTGGTACCAGGGCAGCCTAGGTCGCAGGTCGATGATAGACTTTGTAGTCGTATCATCTGACCTGCGGCTGTATGTTTTGGACATCCGAGTGAAGAGAGGAGCGGAGCTGTCAACTGATCACCACCTGGTGGTGAGTTGGATCAGATGGCAGGGGAACATGCCGCGTAGACCTGGCAGACCCAAATGCATAGTGAGGGTCTGCTGGGAACGCCTGGCAGACGAACTTGTTAAGACGGTCTTCAACTCCCACTTCCGGCAGAGCTTTGACCACGTCCCGAGAGCAGTGGGGGACATTGACTCCGAGTGGGCCTTGTTCCACTCTGCGATTGTTGAGGCGGCTGTTGCTAGCTGTGGTCGCAAGGTGGTCGCAAGGCTGCTGACGTCAACTGAGGCTATAGTCGGACGGTGGAAGGAATATTTTGAGGAGCTCCTCAATCCCACCTATGCGCATTCCGAGGAGGAACCAGAGCCGTGAGACCTGGGGATGGACTGTCCAATCTCAGGGGCAGAAGTTGCTGAGGTAGTCAAACAACTACACAGCGGTGGAGCCCCGGGGGCGGATGAGGTTCATCCTGGGTATCTCAAGGCTATGGATGTTGTAGGGCTGTCATGGTTGACACATCTCTGCAGCATTGCGTGGTCATCGGGGGCAGTTCCTGTGGAGTGGCAGACCGGGTTGGTGGTCCCCATCTTTAAGAAGGGTGACCTGAGGGTGTGTTCCAACTATTGGGGGATCACACTTCTCAGCCTCCCTGGAAAGGTCTACTCCAAGGTACTGGAGAGGAAGGTATGATCGATAGTTGAATCTCAGATTGAGGAGGAGCAATGTGGTTTTCGTCCTGGCCGTGGAACTGTGGACCAGCTCTAAACCCTTGCAAGGATAATGGAGGGGGCATGGGAGTTTGCCCAACCAATCCACATGTGTTTTGTGGATTTGGAGAAGCCTGATGACCATGTCCCCAGGGGCACCCTGTGGGGGACGCTCCAGGAGTATGGGGTGGGTGGCTTTCTGTTAAGGGCCATTCAGTCCCTTTACCAGAGGAGCGTGAGTTTGGTCCGCATAGCCGGTAGTAAGTCGGACCTGTTCCCGGTGAGGGTTGAACGCCACCAGGGCTGCCCTTTGTCACATAACCTTTTAACATACGGTAGTATAGCTATAAATATATTGTGGAGATAAAAAAAAATGTCTAAAAACATCCGCCAATAACACATTTCAAACCGAAAGCTAATTTTGGACCATTTGGTTGTCAATCTCATCAAACCATTGCACTCATGCTCTTCCCTGGGTCCTCCATTCATTCCATACTTGTGTATTTTTCTACAGAACAACACAGGTGTGAGAGGTTTGTGGCTCAGTAATAGAGTTTAGCTCTGTTTGTTTCTGGCTATGTGGGTTTCCGGTTCTGGTGGATACAGAACCAATGAAGATACCCGAGGGGAGGGGTAAGTGTTTGTGTTAAAAGAAACTAGCTTGTTTGCAGATTGCTATTAAAATGTCTAATTCTAAATTAAAAAATGATTGAATTGACTGCAAATGGTCCACGGGCTACCCTTTAGACACCTTTGTCTTATGGCGCATTTACATCTTGGTCAGCGTGAGGTAATTGTACTTACATTTATGTTATCTGTGCATGGTTCGTGCTGATCCGACGCTTGATGCTGACCTCACCAACTAAAGACTAATTGGCCGCCTACCTACAAATGCGAAACTTGGTGGAATTGTCAGCAAGCGGCAGCTTCCTGCATGCACAATTCACAATCAATCTGGGTGCATTGAGGTAAACGTCTTCTCTGACTACAGCTCAGACCAGCCACTGCTGTGAGTGCTTATGAATGCACCACTGCTCAGTGAGATGAGAGTGTAGGAATCTGTGTGCTGCATGTCAGAGTCTCCAAAAGCAACAGTGCCCACATCCACTTTTGTTTACTAACTTGTGGTGCTCAACAAGGACACCATAGACTTCTCCGTGCCTCTTTAGCCCCACCCACATGCTAGGACAGAAGGCGTTCTTGAGAAGGCTATGTAAACTGGCTGCGCAAGGATGGGCTGTCCTCAAACAGGCTGAGCTGACCCAGATGTAAATGCACCATTAAAGTCTCCCTCAACATTGGATTCAATGAAACCAAAATTGTAGTAAAACCAGTTGCTTGAGTCAGTACTATTACAGGTATTTACTATTTGTTTCATTTGCAGGAAAACGAATGTATGCGGATCAAGATACTTGGTGACTGTTACTATTGTGTGTCTGGCCTCCCAGAGTCGTTGCCTAATCACGCTAAAAACTGTGTCAAAATGGGTTTGGACATGTGTGAGGCTATCAAGTAAGTAACTGTTACATAACAGTGCTGCAAAAAGAAATTAAATAAGAACAATGATCTCTTTCTTTCAAACGTTTCACAGTACTTTCCATTTGTTTTTCTGGTTATTCTTCAGAATTTCAATATGTATTACCTTTTGATTCTTGATCATTAATGTGCCATTTTAGTATGTTTTGTTTTTCCTGTTAGAGTTTCATCACATCATGTGATGTGAAATATGTGACTCTTTTGCTATTTTTTGTCCAGTCAGAATAGATTGTATTAGGGATGACACTTTATGATTCATGACAGGAAAGTGCGAGATGCTACAGGAGTGGATATCAACATGCGTGTTGGTGTACATTCTGGGAATGTTCTGTGTGGTGTTATCGGACTCCAGAAGTGGCAGTATGATGTTTGGTCCCATGATGTCACATTGGCCAACCATATGGAGGCAGGAGGTGTACCAGGGTGAGTGTAAAAGCTTATGATGCAAATACTATAGTTTTACTTGTATTAGCCCTTAAAGCTGGGGCCCATATCATGATGTCATGAAGGAGAGGAGGATGAGACTTTATATTTGAACGGCTATAGCTTTCGTCCCCCCACCTCCCTTTTGGAAGGAGCTGAATGCTAAGTGGAATCTCTAATTTCCCTCTGGAATTAATAAAGTATTTTTGAATTGAATTTGAAAGCCACACCTCATAACGCAAACACAAATAGCATTGTAACGCTAATCAACAAGAAATTAATTTGATATGTTCCTGCTCAGACAGACCTGATTCTAAATCTCATAAATCAAATATGTAGTAGTCGAGCAGAGCAACATCTCACTCGCAGTGGTAGCACAACCTTGCTAACGCTGCAAAAGGCTAAAACAATAGTCAGATGTATTGTAAAGGTTAATGCATGACAAAACATTTAACTCAATACACGAAAGATAAATCCCTCTTCTTTCCACTTCATCTTCTCCCACCACTGGAAGTTTACAGACTGACATTAATTCAATCCAGGTCAAGATAGCATTCAAGCCAAGTTGGAGTTCTAAGCAGACTGAGGCATCTTCATCATCCCTGTAGCACAGTGATTTCCAACTTGTGGTCTGGGACTCCCCAAGGGGGTCTCCTCAAGATTACAGGGGGTCCCTGCAATAGCATCTGTGTCAAAGTTGTGAGGTCATTTGTAAAATTTAGATTCATAAAACACCAATAACACACCCAATATTACAATCAAATAGAAGTTATATGTCAGGTTTTGTGGCTGAGCTGAAGCGTAGCAGAGATGGTCTGTGGCGTAACTGTGTGACCCAGACGCAGAGTGGCTAGCGTTGGGTTAAACAGAGCACGCAGCTTTACTCTGGGAACGGCGAGACAGCGCTCGGAGAGAGCCGAGACTGAGTAGCAGTTCCGGAAGGATAAGGAAGCTGGCTTACTGGTAGTAGACAGCGTGGATAGATTCTTGTGTTGGGTTTGAGGGCTGGTAAGCCTGAGAACTCGATTCAATGTCTGGTAGGAACGATGACTGAGTGATGAAGGAGCGCCGGTGCTTCCGTAAATAGGGTTGGCGTGATGACATCGGCAAGCCACGTTGGTGGCGGGAATGTTGGGAAGTGGTGGCGAGAATGCTGGGAAATGTAGTTAACCGGAGGAGTTTGTGACATTATACCTCTTATGTCTGCATGAGATTTTACATTAATCACTTCTAAGTATGAATGCAGGTAGCAGTTGTGGTTGGGGGTCCTGGCTTATCTTGGACACAGGCAAGGGGCTCGTCATAGAAAAAAGGTTGGGAACACTTGTTTCAGAAACTAGAAGATCACCAGATCAGAAGAGAGCTTCAGACAGCAGGATTTGCAGTCTTTTTTCCTGATATTTGAACATCTCACCTCAGATTCGTTAACAGCAACACAAATCTACCACTGACTCTGTTTGTATGCCATTGGTATTTTATTTTCACAAATAATAGAAGCCTGAATGAATTAGAATAGATTAGAATAGACTTCATTAATCCCACAGGCTTTTCAAATCCTAGAGTTTCACCATCTATTTTCTGTCAGAAGTGAATGCAGAAAGTAGGTGTAGGACAGAATTTTCACATTCTGCCTGCATGCTAAACTCAGAGTGACCAATCATTTTCAAAAGTACAAATTGGTCTGTCAGTGAAGGCCTTCTTTAAGGGGAATATCGATTATGAAAAATTACCTACTTTATATCATAGAACAGGGTGGGATAGTCACATTTAAACATTTGCGAAGTTACTTTAAACATTTGCAAACAATCAGCTTTTACTACCATTGACATGTTTAATCACTGACAACATTGCTAGTGGGCAATTAACTGAAAAGTTGATTTCCAGGCGAGTTCACATCACATCAGTGACTCTGGAGCACCTGAATGGTGCCTACAAGGTGGAGGATGGAGATGGACAAGAGAGAGATCCTTATCTAAAGGAACACGGAGTCATCACTTATCTGGTTATCAATCCAAAGGTAAGAGTTTATGGGGCGTAAAGTGAATATTGGTCTTCCAAGAGAACATCATGAAATGACATTTCTCCTCACGTTTGTTCAGGTTGAGCATTGGAGCCCACAGCATCATTACCGACCCAGACACGCTATTTATGGAGCAAAGATGAGAGCCTCAGTCAGGATGACCCGCTACCTGGAGTCATGGGGAGCAGCCAAGCCCTTTGCCAACTTACATCACAGAGACAGCATGACTAATGAGAATGGCAAGATCAGCACTGTGTGTATTTGTTGTGTCTTTTTATGAGATAGGAAGCTCATTTCTAGCTGCCAACCCTCTCTCTCTCTGACTATTCTTGCACTCTTTTTAGGATGTGCCGATGGGGCAGCATCACTTTAAAAGAAGATCAGAAAGGCAAGCTGAGTTGTAGCTCCAGTGAAGTATTTTTTATCAGTATTATTTTTGACAGACATTAGGTCTACAAGAAATATAAAATGGCAGAGACCTTTACTAGAGAGCTTACCGTCTTTTTGTAATTGTTGTCAACCATCACAGGACAAAGTCACAGAAGAAACGGTTTGAAGAGGAATTCAACGAGAGGATGATCAGGACCTTTGATGGAATAAATTCCCAAAAGTAACCTTCATTTTTAAAGTTACTCTTTAAAATGCTACAAAATTCTAACTTGTCTTATTTCAATTTAAATTTAAATAGCAGCCACTGCTAAAGTTTCTGAAGGCCTTCATTTGCGCTCAGATAATAGCCTAGATGTATCTAACATAGAAAGTTTAGACGTAGATGTGTTTCACACATGTTCTGTTTTCTCTTTTTAATGTTCTGTTTAAATGTTTACTCCCAGACAGTGGCTGAAGTCTGAGGACATTCAAAGAATATCACTGTTTTTTCACAACAGATCGTTAGAGAAAGAGGTAAGAAAGGTAAACTTCACCTAAGTGAGGAGAAATAGTCATTAGTCATTTTGTCCAGAGTCACCTTGCAAAGAACTGCTAGTGTCTGAATGCAAAGTTAGACTTCTGAATGATCTTATTTTTCTTTACATTTCAGTACAGAGCAACGACTTTACCAGCCTTCAAATACTACGTCACCTGTGCCTACTTGATCTTTTTCTGTATTTTCATTGTGCAGATTCTGGTCCTGCCAAAGTAGGTGATCTTTATATTTCTTCCTACACTCATTTGTATTAAACATTTATTAATTTTATTCCCTGTAATATTAAAGCCGTGAACTAAATTTAACATGTATTCCTGTAGGACGGCTGTCCTGGGAATATCCTTCGGAATGGCCTTTCTTATCCTGTCTGCGATACTGTTCATATGTTTCATTGGACACTTCTTGGTGAGTCACAGATACATTTACTGCAAATGTTGTTTTCATTGTACCACTTTTCTACTGTGCTATTATATTTTAAAGCTGTTATTTTAATCAGAAGTTTTAATAGACCTCTTATGCTTTCAGTGATTATGCTGATGTTGCACCAAAAACACAGAAGTGCCCATTTGTCAATTACCAGCCCATAAAATTACCCCCAGTGGTACTTAGATGTGGCCTTGGGACAAAATGGGTTCCTAAACATGCAGGCTCAGTGGTTTTATGTTCATCAGGGGTTTTAGTGTTTGTCCAGACTGCACGAAGATGCGTTAATGCTGCAGAGAAAGTACATTTTACTATTTTTCATGTTTAATATTTAAGATCATGTGTTCTCTGTTAGTGTGTGTGGTCTCAAAGTTATTTGTGCAGTCTGCTGTAGAGAGCAATCCATTACAATAGCTCAATAAGTCATCTAAGAACTTCTCATTGCAGTCATTTCTACAAGTAAAATTTGCATCGTCATCCTAAATGTTAGCACTTTAAATACAACTTAGAGCATGCTTTTTTATTGTGCTTTTGCTAGAATGAGGTTTACATTATGAAAGGCTCCCCATCCATCTACTTCTAAATGATCAAATGAATGCAGAGCTGTGAAAGTGAATGATAGAAAAAGGACCTGTTTGAAAACGGTATAACCCTGTGCATCGGAAAGCTGTTCTCTTTTTTCTGCCATGGATTGTCGGGTGTTTGGTTCTGAGCTCTGCTCCCTGTGGATGCTGTCTGTTGTTGAGAAGCCTTGCAGGAAACTCGTAGCCCGGTGTCAACTATGTTTGGCATGGCAGACCGTTTGCATTGCTTTCATACTTCTTGTTGTGGAACAGCTAATGCACTCATAAAAAACATTTCTGTCTGTATCTCCTTTGATTCCTTACGGCTTGCTGACTGACCATTGGTTGCTTCGCTTTCAACCGTACTTTGTACAAAAAAGTAGTGTATACAAGACAATCTAAACTAAAATTACCATAATGAGCCATTAATCTAATAAAGTCCTGCCGTCCTGTTTTAGGACATCACTGCTAATCAATATACATTAATGTATGCATAGAGAAATGGGCTGTCTTAACCTCATGTGCTGTTTGTTGGTGGCTTCAGTAGTCTTTACGCATTGATGAACTAGTCTCGATAAAGCTGTAATTCTGATGGCGGACGGAGTTTCAGCTATTTAGAGTGGAGGTTGTAAAGGTCAGAAAATCGAATGGAAATGCCATGTTTTCAGAACAGAAAGATCCTCCAAGTGCTCTGCAGTTCTCAGTAATCCCCTCAGTGCATAATACAATGTGCCATCCTTAGTTTATTGGAATGGGATGTACATCTCTGAGCTATTCAGATGTCACATCCACTCAGCTCCGGCCATGCTCAGATGACTGCAGATGATCAAGTAAATGATTTGAGCCGCACTCTCGCTGTTTCACTATGAATCACACGGAGCTGAAGGCAGTGTTGTAAAGAGGAAAACTAATTGACTGTAAAACCTCGCCAACATTTGTGGGAGAACGTGAAAGTATTTTCTAGCATCAACAACAGCTTGGCAATAAACAATATATAGACATATTAAAATGGTAATGGCTGCACTGTGGAGGGTTAATTTGTACTGATCATTTTGTTCAAGGAAACATGTTACCGATGGCCTCAGAAAATAGACAAATCAAAGTATTTCCTGTACTTTGCCCTCTTGATAACTGTATTTACTGATTAAAAGTGAGATTCAGTGAGAAACATATTATTCTTGTTCGTTTGAAATACCAGTTAATCAGTCAATCAGATTTATTGATATAGCACTTTTTACCACCTCAGCGGAGGCCCAAGATGCTGAACAGCACATAAAAGCAAGGATAAAAACAACAGTAGATAAAAGAGAATAAAAATAGTCGATAAATACAAGTAAAGGCAATTAAAAGCTGTGCAGTACAAAAATATATATACAAAAGCCAGTGACAAGGGTGTTGAGGGAAAGCTAACAGATAAAAGTGAGTTTTCAGGCAAGACAATCTCCTGAAGAGAAAGAGGTTTCTTCACTGCCAGAAGAAGCTCTTTCCACAGGGTTGGAGCCATTACTGAGAAGGCCCGGTCCCCCCAGATCTCAGTTTAGAGTGGGGAACTTCCAGCAACTCCTGCTCAGCAGAGCGAAGGACCCTAGAGGGGACATGATGCTGTATCAAAGCAGCCAGATATGGGGGAGCACTGCCCTACAGCACCCTGAAGACATGGAGGAGGATCTCAAATCTTGCCCAATCATACACCGGGAACCAGTGCAGAGAAGCTAACACTGGGGCAATATGGTTCCTCCTTCTAGTCCCAGTCAGAAATCTTGCAGCAGAGTTTTGGACTAGCTGGAGCCTTGCAGTTACAGCCTAACTCAATCCAGCTTACAACGCAGTACAGTATAGTCGAGGTGGGACAAGAGAAAAGCATGAGTACTGTTTCCAAATGTGCTCTTGACAAAAAAAGTTTTATCTTGGATAGACATCTCAGATTTTTAAAAAAACATGCCCAGACAACCACTAATTTAAGGGTTGCATCAAGTTGCCAAGGAAAAGAAATCAATCTCGCCACCTCCTCCAGCTTTTTCACCAGGGCTGAGTGTTATGACCTCAGTTTTGGACTCATTTAGGTAGAGGAAATTAGTGGCCATCCATAACCTAACTTCCCTTAAGCAGTCCAATAACACAGACACAGAGCCTTCTGCCTTTTGAGAAAGGGGCAAATAGATCTGGCAGTCATCTGCATAAAAATGGAACTTAACACCATGACGCTGAAGGAGGACACCCAGGGGCAAGAGGTAGAGTGTAAACAGAAGGGGGCCAAGGACAGAGCCCAGAGGGACTCCTCATGTGAGAATTATACTGAATTTCACATGTAGGCTGAACGTGAAATTAGTCAACCTTTTTTCCTTTAGCCACCAAAGGAAATTGGAAAGGGAATCGCGCAGGTCAGAAAAACAAACAGTCATGTGAATTTGCGTTCATGGACTCGCCCATCTTGGCTTGCAACTGGGGAAGGCCTTTGTTGAGCCAGGAGAGAGCAGGGCGTGTCTCAGGTAGTAGAAGCTAATAGTTAGCATTAGCACCTCCATAACATGCAGGCTAATGTTATTTTTTGAGATAAAACATCGATTTTGCAAAGTGTACAGAGGCAGTGGTGTGAGGATTGCTGTAAAGACACTGACACTAGTCAGTATTTTGTTGCAATCTGCTGGGTTCCTCATATAGAGCTCCGGGAGTTGACGTCACTTCTCCCGGCATGCAACAGTTCAAATCGAAACGGCACCATTTTGGCAGGCAGAAGCCGGCAGCTAGACTATTTGTTGTCATAAATCTCACACGGGAAATATGGTCGATTCCTGTTGTGCCCCAGGATGCCAGAACAGATGGGGACAAGTCAAGGGAAGATCCTTCTACAGGATTCCCAAAGATCCGGAGCGCCACAAACGTTGGATCATTGTAATAAAACGCACTAGTGACTGGGCTAAAATGAAACTGTGGGACCCCGAGAGTAAAGGATTTCACTTATGCAGTGACCACTTCATATCAGGTACTTTAACGTTTCCTCAACTGTAGATGGTATTTATTTTAAATGCTTTTATTACGATTCTTAGCGGGCTTCCTAAACTTATTTTGGCGTGGCTTTTTCTGTCTTATTACTCATAGCAACAAGTAAACATCACGTAAAACGTTGCCTCGTGATTTCTGCGTGCTGCCGTTTTCGTGTTTTATGATCACAGCAATTAACCGGCTAAGCTGGATTTAATTTTTAAGCAATGGTTGATCAATTGCCAGATCACACATAAAAAGCACTTTGGATTGCAATTATCTGTCTCACCGAGACAGCTCTCAGACAGATCCTGAGACGCTCCTGCCTGACATATTTATTTTATTCACGGAAAAAAAAATCAAACTAGTGATTTCTCTTGGCGTTCAGTTTATACATTCAAACAGCACAGCACTCTATTTAAACTACTTATGTGTGTAAATCTGTTATTTGTCCATCCATCCATCCATTTTCATCCGCTTATCCGGAGTCGGGTTGTGGGGGCAGTAGCGTCGAGAGGCCCTGACTTCCCTCTCCCCAGCCGCCGGAGCCAGCTCCTCCGGGTAAATCCCAAGGGGTTCCCCGGCCAGGTCCGGTAAAAAGTCCGCTCCGACAGCTTCTGGCGTCAGAGCGGGCAGTAGCGTCAAGAGGCCCAGACTTCCCTCTCCCCAGCCGCCTGAGCCGGCTCCTCCGGGGGAATCCCAAGGGGTTCCCCGGCCAGGTCCAGTAAGAAGTCCGCTCCGACAGCTTTTGGCATTTTTAAAAAGTATCCCAGGGGCACGGTAAGGGTCGGAGATGTTTGGTCGATTTTATTTCTGACTATATAAAACGATTTCTTCGGTTTTAAAGTGTGAAGTAAACTCCAACGAAGTAAAATCCAAGCTAATCCCGTTCACGTTCATGTGTTTGTTTACCTTTTTTTACCTGCCAAAATGGCGTCTACTAACTGAGAGTCACGTGGGGTCCGGAGCTCTATAGGAAACGTTTTACTGTCTGACTTAATGAACTGACCTGTACTGGAATGTTTACTTTGTGAAGTCCCTTGAGACGACTCTTGTGATTCATTTGGTGCTATATAAATAAACTGGATTGCATTGAATTTGTGGTAGAGTCATGTTGCCAATCAGAGGCAAGGTTTTTGAGCAACATGAATCTCAATTAGTCAGACAAATCAATTAGTCAGACAAATCAAGCCGTTTTCTGCTCCTCACTCCTTCGGCTAACATCCATTTAAACTAAAGACCACTGCAGATTTAGTGAACAAAAAGAGTCACGTGGATTTTGTATTTCTGCTTTTATTTTGAAATTGGATCACATGCATGGACGTAGTTTTGGGGGGCACGGAGGGACATGTCCCTCCCACTTTCAATTTTTGTCCCCTGCAGTTTTTACCATCCAAAAACAATATTACACCATAATAATTAGACACTGGCTGAGCACTGGGACTAAGTGGAAAACAATTGCTTTTTGTTCAGGCTTGTTTCTCATTACAACCATCCAAGAACTCATTGAACTATTGGCTCTGCTGATACTTGCTAACATGTGATTGGCTGTTCCTTCCACCTGTGTACTGTCACGTTATGGAGGATGGTTCGGGCCCAAAATGCAGATACCCAGGATGACACGAGGCAGGAGTAGAAAAAGAAAAATCCTTTTATTTTAGGATGAACCCAAAACGAACATAAAAACCAAAAGGGGCAGGAAGCCAACGTCCAAAAATGCAGGGGATGATCAGGAGATTCAAAAACACTAAAGGAACGAGCAGGACTGACAGAATAAGTCACACTGACAGCAACAGTGGACCGACAAGAACAATGAGACAAGGAGAGGCTTTATACACTGGGGCTGGAGTGATAGGAGATGAGGAGCAGGTGTGTGGGGAACTGGCACAGGTGAAAGCACTAATGAGAGGAGCAGAGCAGGACACCAGACCTGACTGGGAAGGACACATACACACACACACACACACACACACACACACACACACACACACACACACACACACACACACACACACACACACACACACACACACACACACACACACACACACACACACACACACACACACCGAGCTGGGGACAAAAAGGTTGGAGCTACAAGAGAAGACACATAAATGAGATGCAGACAAAGGACACATGAGGGTGCTTATGAGACCCAAAATGGGAACCTAGAGGAAGGAGAACACATGAGGGAAGACACAGACGCAGACCATGGCATGTACTTGACAGTTCTGCATGCCCAACATTGCATAAAAGAGCCTCTAGGCCGTAGTTTTATTCATATTTTTGTGGATACTTGCCGCACTTACTTACCATACATCCTCATGCTGGTTGTATCCCCCCCCCCCCCCCCCCCCCCCACACACACACACAATCAAACTTTTTAGGTCAAAACTACATCCATGATCACACGTGTGGCTGTTCTTTACTGCCTCTTCTTTGTGATGCCTTCATGACTTGTTTCAGCTTCTGATTCCTGTAGTATCTTAAATTTTGATGTTTTCTTACATTTGTTTTTGTGTGTGTGTGTGTGTGTGTGTGTGTGTGTGTGTGTGTGTGTGTGTGTGTGTGTGTGTGTGTGTCTGCAGCACTGCAATAAAAGTACATCTACATCTTGGATGTGGCTGCTGAGGTCATCAGTTATTATTGCCAACAAGCCATGGCCCCGCATCACTCTCACCATGACAACCACAGCTCTAATACTCATAATGGCTGTCTTCAACATGGTAAGCTTTTATGTGCAGATACTGTTTTGAGAGAGACAGAAAAGTAGACTTCACAAAAAATATCAAGATGTTTTAAAGAAATTCTGAGTATTGCAATTTCATTCATAGTTAAAGGAAATTCATATGTTTTCAGTCAAAAGCAGTAAATACATTGTTTGTCATGGCATCAGTAAAAAAAATATGCATTTGCAAACCAAACAAACCCTAGTAGATTTTTTTTAACCTCAACAAGAGCTGAGCCACGCTATAAGACATTCAGCAGCCATTTTGGGCATTTAGGCCATGTGCACATGTAGCCGTGTTGTTATAAAACTGAACATCCTCCCCTGCCCATTTTTGGGAGAAAAAAAAAAAACACGGATCAAACCACGCTGTTTTCAGCAAAAAAAAAAAAACTCCTATGCATTGTGAATTACATCCACAGGCACGCCAAATCCTTAGTTCCCTAAATCTTTGTTGTCTTTGTCGAAAAATATTCCTTGGATGTGGAATTACTAGATGGTGGACAAGAACTGTCCTAACCTTGTCCTTCACCTGTGGTCTACTACACAGAGCAGTTACTGAGCATGTAAAAATAAGCAAGTAGACACAGGTTTCGTCAGAGCATTTTTGGGAGGCAGTGACCTTTTTAAACCTAAAACCGTGAATATTAATGTACACAAGTGAATGTTGATAATGGAGAGTTTGATACTGTCCATTTTGGTTGAAGTTTTTGAAAGACTCGTTTTTGGTGCCGTTTAACTTCACTTTCATGTGGATGACAGGCCAAATTGTAGAACAATCACTTTGTTTTGTGGGATATGCAGCTACATGTGTACTGGGTCTTAATATGATACTCATCTGTTATATATAATAATTATTATACTTTTTTTACTAAAAGTTTTTCGTGTTTCACCAAACAATCAACTGCAGCAATGAATCTCTGGTGTTCTCGGTTCTGAATATTGAGCATCTTTTGTATTGCTTATATGAACATCATTTGCACAGGCTGATAATAAAATGCTGTACATAACATTTTTATTGTTAGTTTTTCTCCCTTCCTTCAGATTTATCTGATCAAGGTTTATTTTTATGGAGAGTAAAGACGAATACATAAAGGCTCATATAAAGGTGGAGCAGCAGCCCCAGGCTTTGAAAGGAAGCTGTGTGATAAAGCACAGTGTCAGGACCCCGGTTTAGACCTTCACACAAATCGATTGCAGAGATTATAATCGTGTTTTGTGTCTGACGTGGGTCAGTTGCTCAGGGCGGATGAACCAAATTAGCTTGGTTTTGCTCAGTGGGGGCAGCCAATCCCCATCTTATCCTGCAGGTTCACTTTAATGTGCATTATTGAATGGTTGTCACTATTGACTGCTAATTTAACAAGATTCTGTTTTCCTCAAGCAACTTCAATGGCGACAACTTCATCTTTTCATGAATTGATGCACAAAACACACAGAAAATCTGAGGGTTTTGCTGCACTTGTTGAATCAGAATCTGTTAATGTTTGTGTTTTTCTCTAGTTCTTTTTGGAAGACACCGTTTCACCTTCAGTTTCTTTTTACAATTCATCCAATGAAACACTTCTCTACCCTAACGGGCAACAAATCACCTTCACAGGCAAAAACAACTTCTACCTTCCTGTAAGTGTAGTCTAATGCTGTCACAGTAATAGAGTTTATGCCACAAACCCCCATGTTTATGCTTCCGGACTTTTTAGCCACTTCCTGGTTTTAGTAATGTTTGTGTCCTCTATTGCCTTTTTAAAGTGATTGTTGCAAGACCTGCCTTGGATAACCATCAACAGGATTATCCAGGCCACATGCACATCCAAATAAAGACAAAGGTTTTAAATAGTATGTGTCAACTTACATTCATTATGAAGGTGAGTAAACAAGCTTCTGCTTTGGAATACTAAATGATGATAAATGCTAGCTGGTTTCTAGCCAAAGTTAGCGCCGTGTAAGAGCAAAACTAATAATTTTATCAGAGCTTTAGATTAACATCATGAGCCTTTTAGCTTCTGAAATGATAACTTTCTGCTCAATTTGTTAGCATTGCTTCCTCAGTAAATAGAACAGAACAGAACAGAGTCATATCATATCATATCATATCTCATATCATATCATATCATAATATATCATATATCATAATATATAATATCATATCATATCATAATATATCATATATCATAATATATCATATCATATCATATCATAATATATAATTATCATAATATATAATATCATATCATATCATAATATATTATATATCATAATATATCATATCATAATATATAATAATTTATCATATCATATCATATCATATCATAATATAATATAATAGACTGTATTGTTCCCACAGTGGGATAATTCACTCATTACAGCAGCACATACACTTAGAGAAAAGGAAGAAGAAAAATATTAACACGATTACTGGTAAACACACAGAGACAATACGCTATTATAGTAACCTTCAACCACAAAAAACAAATGAAAAAGAAACTTTGGTTCCCAGAACTATGCAGCATATGGGACAAAGACAAACATTTGTACATCAGTTATTGCAGTATTGAACACATACTGAGTAATGTACTGATGTTATTGTGTAACAGGATAATGCCAGTACCAGTTAAACTGTGGAATAATACACTATTACTGCAGAGGGGATAAATGACCCATGGTAACATTTTAGATCTTGGATGTTTCGGTCTGCCACTGAAGGAAAGAGCTGGCACGTATCTACCTATAGCAGGAGCAAACTGACCATCATAGTTATGAACGTAGGTGCATAAACAACAATTAAAAACCTTAGCCTTAATTTGATTGTGTTATCTTAAATGTGGCTTAGATTATCCCAAGTATGTTGGTGATTGTTATCCTTGGCAGTTCCAGCAGCAATAGCAAAAAATGCCATAGAAACAAAAACGTTCCTGTGACCGGGAAATGAATTAGCTGGCTAAAAAGTCAGGAAGTGTCAAGCTGGGTATCTGTGGCACATAACATTTATGTACTTTAGCCATGTATATATAATATCCTCACACCCTATAGGGGGTAATTTTGCTGCTTTGTTTATGGGTTCTCTTTTCCAGTATTTAATTTACAGCTGTATCCTGGGCCTGATCTCTTGCTCTGTGTTCCTGAGGATAAACTGCGAACTGAAGATGATCATAATGCTGACGGCGGTGGTGGGCTATAATATCATTATCCTACAAACACATGCCTCTCTGCTGGATGACTACAGCAGATCTCTCTATCTGACTGAGAGCCTGGACAGGTTGGTGAAACACATTGAAGTCTCCACAAACTTTAATTAAGACATCGGCTTATTGAACATCTTTACCTCATTAAAGCACGAGATGCTACAAATATAAATCAGCTGTGTTCTCCTAATTACTTCATATTTTATTGTTCAGTACAAATAAAGGATCAACCTGGTCTTGATCTAATTGTATTAAACACACAGACTGGAGCTGTTGGGACCAAAGCGTCACCGGGCTCAGGCACAGAACACGATGCTCTACAGAAGCCCTTCCAAGTCTTGGCGGGATGTTTAACTTAAGTACTCCAGCTGGGTGGTTGTCAAGCAGTGATTGCATAAGAATTAGTTCAAAAGAACATGATCCCCACTTACTACAATCATGTAGTCCAACTCATTAAATTCACGTCAGACTTTTCTGTCACAACACGACTTTCTCTGACAACAAACCAGGAAACTGGCTGCTTCAGCAACACAGTGAGAAAATCTTAATGGAACCAGTTAGAACGTGTTTTAGTCTGGAATCTTTCAACACTTTACAGACCTTGTAAGGAAAAGTAAAGTCAGTTTATCCAGGCTTTAATAATGAACAGCTTTGGGAGCCTGTTGAAGGTAGAGTGAAGCAGAGCGGTTTAGTAGAGGTTTAATAAGACCGAATGCAAAGCTGTCCGACCGAGTTGGCTCACTGGCTAGTTGGCTGTAATTCCAAAATCATTCATGGACACATTAACGACTCAGAATTGTGTGTTGGAAAAAAGGGCCTTTCACATTCTGATACATTTTTTAATCTCCAAGGGGAAATTGCTTTGCTACAGCATCCTACAGTTCTTTGCGAGCTGTAAAAAGGTATAATTAAATGACATTTAAACACACATACACATGTATGCATGTAACTAATATAACATTAATGGGAAGCACTGCCGAACATTTGACCAGTAATGGAATTGCTTGGTGAAATATTACAAACCATTTGTCATCTAAGCAAACTTTTTTGGTTTAATTGCTGTTTTGCTTTTAACTTCCTGTTCAGTGGAGCTGAGATGCTCAAATCAAATGTAAGGATCGATTATAATTTTGTTGTGTAGCTCAATGGGAAACAGTGAAGACATGTTTAATACATTGCAAACACTAGAGAGAGAACTTTCATCCTTAATCATCTAATCTGAATAAAGCACTCCTCAGCTTCTTGTTTTGCATCTCTTTAGCAAACCATAATTGGTTGCATGCGAAGCATTCCTTGGGCTATTTTTACTTGTAACACTGACGTCTGTGTGAAACCCAAAAAGTCCCTCAAGAGTAATGACTGGCAAAATGAGTATGTAAATATACACATTTCATTTTTTAGCTTTTCTATTTACATTTTAACTATTTGCAAGTAGACAAGTTAGATTTAAAGTGAGGCAGCTCTCATTTCTCCCTAAAAATCTTTTAAATTACTTTATCTTCAAGGTCATGTCCTTATTATTTCAGTTTCAGTCCTCAGTCTGTTCTATTCCTATAATGCCATCAAATCTACTAAACACACCAGGCTTCTTTCTGATTCTTGCTGATAAATGACAGCATTGTTGCATCTGTGCTTTGAGAGCCTCTGCATTGCTAAGGAAAAGCATTTCTATATACAATGTAGCACAAGCATGTTTAGAACAGCGTTGTTGGATTGTGATTAATGAGGCGTCTCATTCAAAGGTAATATACGACATTCTGTTTGTAATCCTGAAACTTTATAAATCATAAACATTATTTTCGTTGCTCGTTGGGCGATGTTTTCAGTGAACGTGTCTTGACTGGATAAGCTCCAACAGTGAAATGCAAACAGTAAACAAGCTGTCACAGCAAAGCAAAAATGACAGTTGTAATTGATTGGCAGCTTGAAATTAAAGCGTCGGCTAACCACTCATGAGACGTGTGCCAGAACTGATTGTAATCTGAATTTGTAATGAAATAGTCTTAGTGTTGTCTCTCCCTCTTTTAATTTTCACTTGTTTTTTGTTTATCTGTTCATCAGTCCTGATGTTTGTCATTTTCTTAGAGACAGTCTTTCTTCTTTCTGTCCCTGAAGACCAGGGGTTCTCAAGGACCTAAAAACCATGGGCTCCATCTCGCTTTTTATCTTCTTCATCACTCTGCTTGTGCTTGCCAGACAGGTGAGTTTCCACTTTATTATTTGCATTTTGTGTTCTTGTTGATTCAGTGTATTTTTTCCACATCTGTCTGATTGAAGGTTTGTGTTTATTTTATTTTTATTGCTTTGTAGTTCTCTTGGTCTTGGTCATTATATAAACTCTAATACAGTATTTTAAAGTGCACATGTTCAGGCTTGCAAAAGTATAAGGTCAGTTAAAACTGAAACCTCAGCATCGCAGCATAAAAGACAATTTAAAAAAAATCATGAAAATCAAAAAGTACATGAAAAAATAAGATACATTCGGCTTTCAAAGGCAAGACAAAAGAAATGTATGATTATATTTCAATTCAATTCAATTCAATTACAAATAATTTCAATATTATTCAAGCATTGTACTGATCTTTTCAGAAAGATTCTAAAAATATGGCTTTCAGATTAAAATAGGTCCTTTACTGACAAACCATTTTTACTCATTATTTTTGAAAAGGTGAGTTTTTCACGCTGAACATTAAAGTTGTCTCCACCCATCTCCTGCATTAGTTTATGATAGGAAATAGATGGAGGATCGGAAACAGTTAGTTTGCTCAAAGTGACTCAAAAGAGTCACATTGCTGATGTGAGACTGTTAAATATCAGCAAGTAAGACTCTGTCTGAAGCGACATTCTCCTCTGGCTGAATTCTCCATGCTGAAATAGGGACAACAGAGAGGCTATTTATTGCATTTGGCCTCCAAAAGGCTTCACCGAATGTCACAGAGGCAGGCGCTTCCAAAGGTGCTCTAATCAGTCTCATCTCCTCCAAGTGTCAACAAGCTGGCTTTTATGCTGCACCAGTGCACCTACAGGTGCAGCCGTTTGGTGAATTTGCAGGCTGCACTCAGCCAGACCAATGCAAAGGCAGAAGATCCCACAATGATTAAAATATTCTTTCACTGGGTCTTTAAGGATGAATGTGATGTCAAGGGACTTTGGTAACACCTCCTACATTCCCTGGCCTCTGATTGGTCCAACATGGACCCTTAAAGGAAGGAGACACTTCCTCTATTAGCATCTAATGAGCATCTATTGTGAGATTGAGCAGATCACCACGTTCAGAACCAAAAACAACCATTATTTGTCTTAACCTGCAACAACTTCATCAGACGTAAAACGACCCACCAGCTTCCAGCAGAAGTACCACGTGGGTATTGCTTGACAAGCCGTGCAGACTCAAAGGGGCTATGACCTTTGATAACCCAAAAGTCAAAACAACTCGCCTGGTTGAGACGACTTCGTGGCCAGCTTGATCACCGATAACTCTCATCACACAGGTGTCATGATTCCAGTCCTCCAGCCATCCACTTTGCACCAGACATTACCTGAGCTCCACTTCCCAGCATTCCCCACACCAGTTTCTGCCTCTCCATGTCATCACGCACACCCTATTTCAGGAAGTCCTTCACAACAGTCCATGCTCAGTCATCATAGTTTCTAAGCTCTCTCAGTGGTCTAGGCGTTTTCCACTTGTATCAGATCCTACAGCGCCTCACTTGGTAGCGCGTTTTACTTCAGCCTTATTTTTACGTTTCCAGTGCAGTGGCTCCATTCAGCACACCGTTGCACCCAGAGCTTCCGTGCTCACCCCGTCTAGTGGCTCCCTGGTCGTTACCGCAGATCCAGTTCAGTTCGGACGACCACAGCTCAACCCGTTTCATCGCCACAGCTTGTCACTCACGCAGGGCGATTCCAGAGCTCCCACGCTCCTCTACACCATCTGCAACATCCAAATAGTAAACCTGTTCCTTTTACTTTCTAGAACATTGCAACATCCTCGTTTCCCTTTGAGGTTCGTGCCAGCGCTCCTAGATTAATTGCATGTTAGACGTCACCCATCGCTAGCACTTCTACGTTTGGGTCTTGTTACTCGCTTCACCCCTCCTCACTGCTCGCTATGTTGAGCCAAGGTGAGGAGCATGACTACGGGGATCGTAGCTCTGCACACTGGCATTGGATGGATTAAGATTGATTTGATAGTAGGGCTGCTCGATTATGGCAAAAATAATAATCACGATTATGGTGACTGAAATTGAGATCATGATTATTTAGGATGATTTTTCTATTTATGTTGATTTTATTTGTTTTTATTCAGTCATAAAATTGCTCAGGGCACAATCAGGACAAAAATAAATAAGAAACAAGATGATCACTATGTTGGGGTTATTAGGAGCGAGTAATTAGTAATTAATTAATTACTTTTGGATTCTTCAATAAATTCTGTAAATATGGGAATATTTACTGATTTATTAATTAATTAAGATATTCTTAGACATCTCCGGGGCACCACCCCGTTCTACCGGGGAAAAATTGAATCCAAAACTCTTATCAGTCTTTCTTGAAGTTCGTAGAATCCTTGGAGCAGAGACTTCTCTTCGACACAACAAAGCTACTGGACACAGAAATCTGAATTTTATAACATTTAATTAAACAATGTGTCAAATGAATAAACAATGAAATAAATGAATAATAACCATGTGATATAATAAAAGGAGTGGTGTGTGTGTGGTGTGTGTGAGTGTGTGTGTGTGTGTGTGTGAGATGAATGGGTCTTTGTTTCCCCAGAGTAGGTGGGGGGAGTGAGCTTTGAGTGTGTGTGGGGCTCTTCCCCTCCCCTCGCATTCCACAGGAGACCTGGATGTGTAAAGTTTTCAACTTTCCCGAACACTTAGTGGCTTAGAATCACAGTAAAACTTAACTCAAACACTTTAAAAGTTAACAAACAACAAAAGGTCACTTGTAAATTATTTAATCTAAAAGGAGTCGGCAGCCTGGCCAGAGCTGACGACTAAAGATATTAACGATGATCAATAAGCAGTTTATTCTTTCAAAATGGCCCGACGGACGTGTTTGGGAACGAAAAGAGAAACTCGTCTGGTAATTTGAAGCAATAGCGCGGTTTTATTGCTTATTCTGGACTATAGAGGAAACGGAAGAAGAAGGAGAGAGAGAAAGAGATGAGTTTCTGATCACCAGAAGAGCGAGGCGTCCCTCCCTCTTTGATTTGACGGTTCTCCGTGTTTCTCCGCAGTTTGGCGTCGTCCGTCGGTTTGATGCTTTCTCTGTTGTTTACCTCCACGAGTGTTTCTCCACGGGCTGGACAGAGACAGCAAGGTTTCTTTCTGTGCTGAGTTATAACTTACAGCATGCTTGATGGAGTTGCTGCTTTCCTCCGCAGTTCTGTGTCCTCAAACATCAGCTGGAGGGGAGCAGAAACAAGCAGATCTGATGGGCTTGCAGTTTAGTTTCCAGCAGTTCCGTGGGCTCAACTTGGGCACATAGAGCTTCCGCGTGCTCAAGGGAGTCGGAGCATTCGACAAGCGTGTCCTTACCGCCAGGTATCCTGGGCAAAAGAATGGAGTTTTCTTTGTTCCGTTCATGATTTATAGTCTTTGAAGTCGCGGGAAAGCTGTCCAAGCTCCCGCCTCCCGCAGAACGTGTTTCTGGTATTAGGGGGTGACGTCATCCCAATGCTTCCGTGTGCAAAGCATCATGGGAAATGAAGTTTCTTGGCGCTGATGTGATTATTTGCTTTTCAGAGCAATTTAAGCACAGTCATTTTGGAGAAAATCACTGCATAGTAATTTCCTCATGAGGTCAGACCCTCAACATTCCCCCTTTTGGTTTCGGGGATCGCGCCCAAAGCTCGATCGTCGGAAGCACAGATGGGTTTGTCCCTCATGAACGTAGGTCGACGGTTGTCGGTCGACTTGATTGTCGGAAGCACAGGTGGGCTTGTCCCTTAGGACGTTGGTCTCCTTGGACGCCTTTGTCTTTGGTCTTTGTCTTGGATCCTGGCGCCTTTGGTCTTTGATCCTGGTCAGGCACAAAGAGGATAGGAAACGGGATATTCCCCAACGCGCATAACGAGAAGAAGCCACTCACGCAGGTGGTACGCAATGATGATGTCGTCCATGCGAGAGGTAGTAGTGTAGAAGGAGGAAGGTCGGTGGGCGGTTAACTCCACGAGGGGACACAAAGGCATCTCACCGCCGGCCATACAGTTCAGTTTATGGAGCACGCGGTGATGTACGAGGTCCATAGTTCGCAAACGCGCATTGACCTATGTGGTCCCAAGATTCCCCCCTTTTTTGGTCCAAAGGGTGGATCAGGACAGTCTTTGGGCTAAAACAAGGACCATAAAACTAAGAGGTACTACAATGTGCTGGTGCGTCAGACAGAGTCATTGACAGACTGAGCTGGGCCGGCAAATAACCACTAGTTAATATGTGACCAAGTACGAAACAAAAATACAGAAAACCCCCAAAAAAACATATAACATCCAAGAAAATTCATAGCAACCTTGAGGTCTCATAAAATACATTCTTAGGTCATACATTCAGTGTGTAGCTTATAAAGAATGTGACATACTGCAACCCTCAGATAAATATGTGAGGTAGACTAAAATGAGAACTACTCTTAGGGTTACAGAATAAAGAAAATGTTGCTCACCCCCTTTAGACAGGTGTGGTACATTCACGCTTGGAGTCTCCCTGAACGCAGTTACGAGGCACACCGTAGGTGAGCAAGTGCATCTTATCTTGGAGTTTCTTAACACGCCTGTAGGCGGAATAAGCTACCACGGCCGTGATGAGCCATCCCATCCCCAGGGCGACCAATGTGCAGATTAAGGTGGTATAATCTGTGTCTATGTAGCGTCTTGGGCGTCAAAGTAAGTTCACGCGGGTTTTGTGTGAACTTACAAGTTTGGTTCCTTCAATCAGTAATTGTTGGTCAATTTCTAAGTTGAAGGCAAAGTTATAACCCTGGAAAGCGTCCATGATCTCAATCTCTGAGTCATGCTGTTCGAGGTTGAGATGATGGCGTGCCAGGTTTCTAGTTCAAAGTGGAAATGCCTACCGTCCTTTCAAATACCAACGTTTAGCATAGACTTAAGCCTATAGATGTGAGGTGTCTCAATTATGGGGACATTTAACAGGAAACCGAGTTCTAATTTTCTGCATCAACGTGAATGGGAATTGCACT